GTCCTCTACTAGTACCTGCCTCAGGTCCTGCACAAAAAGTGCAGCAAGTGTAGTATGAGTACGTAAACAACGTGTACCCAGTAAGTATCAAGCCTAATCTCGAAGTGGTAGAGACGAGATGGTTGACTTTGACACTCACTAAGGGTCAACAATAATAAATAGAATAAAATAGAATTATTTAAATCAGCAGGATTCACAGAGTTAGCAATAATTTTATTCAATTAGCGAAAATAATAAAAATCCTTCAAATGCAATAATTTCCAATCTATTAATTAATTTCACAAGGTACAATTAAAATAGCAGGGTATCGTGTAATTATTATTATTATTAGGCACGATTTTTGCCGAGGTCGTACGGCCCGTTCTAGAGTGTCGTGTACACTGCCGAGGTACGTGCGGCGTGATCCATAGATGCATCTATCCTGCCGAGGCGTTCGTCCCTCTCCACAAAAAAGGAGGACAATTTCTTATGTACCTCCGGAAGGAGAGTATAGTTATTATAAGATCAATTCGAGAGGATGAACAATTTCTTTTAATAATTAATTAATTTAAACAGAAAATTAAGCATATGAGATTTTTATCTTTTAATATTTTTCCCTAACAATTCACAATATATATATATATATATATATCAAATAATTTTAATTAAACAAAGAATACAATTTAGACAAGTAATTCATGATTTGAGTCCTAAACTACCCGAACTTTTAGCATAAATAGTAGCTACGCACGGATTCTCGTCACCTCATGCGTACGTAGCCCCCGCAATTCACCCCAGGCCCACATACCCGGATTCTGAAAATGTTCGGATAAAAACGTTACCCATAATCTCAAGAACTCATATATATAAATTCTATCCAATTCCATAACCATTTTCGTGGTTAAAATCTCATTTTTATACAAATATAGGTTTTTCCTCTAACCCCTTGATTTCCAAGATTTACAAGTTATAATCTACCCATAATCTATGTATTTAACTCAAAGTGTATAGAATTAACTTACCTTCAAGTTGCTAGTTGAAACCCCCTCTAAAAAAGCTCCAAAATCACCCAAGGATAGAAGAAATGAGGTTAAAAATGGTGGAATCCCGTTTTTAAGACATTTTGTCCGGAACAGTAGGCTCCTTCTTCGCGAACACAGTCAGGGCTTCGTGTTCGCGAAGGCCAATTTCCTCAGTCTCAAAATTACCCTTCGCGAACGCGAAGGCTCCTGGCTTGCCTTCTTCGTGAACGCGTGAGCTCCTTCGAGAATGCGTAAGGAAATTTCATCCGGTCCCAGTCCTCTTTCGTGAACGCGTCGCCTGTCTCACGAATGCGAAGGGCAAAAACCCAAGGCTTTGCGAACACGTCGCCTTTCACGTGAACGCGAAGAGGAATTGCCCAGTCCCATTTTCCTTCAACGCGAACGCGAGGGAACTCACGCGTTCGCGAAGAAGGAAACCAGAACTGGAATTTTCTGGTTTTTCCGACTTAGCTCCGGATGGTTTAAAACACACACGAGCCCCTCGAGACCCCGTCCAAAGGCACCAACAAGTCTGAAATCATAATACGGATCTACTCGAACTCTCGAAACACGTAAAACAACAACAAATCCAAGAATCACACCCCAAAACCAAATTGGATCAAACTATGAACTTCAAGTTTCTAACTTCCTCCGAACGCGCCGAATCATATTTATACTACTCGGAATCACACCAAATTTTGCGTTCAAGTCTTAAATGACATAACGGAACTATAAAAATTTTCGGAACTGGATTCCGACCCCGATATCAAAAAGTCAACTCTCCGGTCAAACTTCCAAACCAAAATTCTTGTTTTAGCCATTTCAAGCCTAATTTAACTACGGACTTCCAAATAAAATTTCGAACATGCTCCTAAGTCCAAAATTACCATACGGAGTTATTGGAACCATCAAATCCCGATTTCGGAGTCGTTTTCTAAAAATATTGACCAAAGTCAAATTTAACATTTTAAGGCCAACTTAAGGAACCAAGTGTTCTGATTTCAACCCGAACCAACCGTCCCCGCATGTCATAAATTAATAAAAGCACATACGGGGAGTTTTATTTTAGGGAACAGGATTCTAAAAGTAAAAATGACCGGTTGGGTCATTACAACAATGTAGGGTGACTTTTAATTTTTATTTTAAAAAGGATGACTTATTATTGCAAATAATTTTTACCCAACCTATAAAAACTCCTATACGCCGGTAGAGTTAACCTCCGATTTAATTTGAATGTAGTAAGACTAACACTCTGTTTGGATCATTATTACCTATTATTTTATAATGTATTGTATTGTATTGTATTGTATTGTATCATTTTATGAATACAACATTTGGATAGATTGTATTGTTTGTTATTGTTAAATAATATTTTGTTGTTTAGTTTGACCGTATCATATTGTACTGTAACTAATAAGTTTACTAAAATACCCTCAATTATTTAAATATTAAATTTATCAAGAATTATGCATAAAAATAATTTAAGAAAATCTCTTTCTACTAATTTATCACCAACTATGTCTTATAAATAGATTAAGCAATTAAATTCATGCAAATTCTAACAAAACTAGTGGAACAAGTTAATAATATTAAAAATAATAATAAGTGCACTCCATTCCTAACTAGATAATAATAATAATAATAATAATAATAATAATAATAATAATAATAATAATAATAATAATAATAATAACAAATAATAAATAAAATGTTAAAGAACTATGATAAAGAAAGGAACGAGAACTGTTAGAACAAAGATAAATTAGAATTGGAGATAAAATCAAATTAGGAGAAAACAAAAGAAGGCAAAACACCTTTGACGTTATAGTTGGAAACAGCAGAAGTTCTAGAAAAAAAGGGACGATGACAAAGTAGGTTATAGGTTGAAGATTTGGAGTTAAAATTTAAAAAAAAAAAGGTAAAGGGAAAAATAAAATTATGGAGTAATAAGTTAGGGCATAATTGGAAAAAAAATAAGAAACAATCCCAGCACACTGTATTGGTAAAAATAAATGTTACACGTGGAGTTAATTATGTGGTTCACATGGCAAGGCACGTGGATCACTAGAAAAGCGACAGCTGGAGAGGAGCACTAAAAGAGACACGAGTCGCAGTAGATACGAACAAATCACCCATGAGGTGAAAAGAAATAGTTGCTCAAGTCTCTTTAAGTTATATGAAGAGGCACCGGTGAAATGAACCAAGACAGTAAAAAGGACAGATTCATGGATCTTCAATTAATGAGCGTGGATGATTACAAACGTTACAGAATCTTCACGAACAGTTACGATTACCAATTATAACGTTTCATTAATGTCATTAATGCTCATAATGACTCGGTCTTAAAAGGGAAAAGACGTTGTACTTGAAGACCTCTATATAAGGGAAAGAAATGTCATTTGTACAGACACGTTCTGATGAATATTGGAATATAATTACTTTCTTGTGCTTTCTATTGATTACTTTGTCAATTCTGATTCTGATTTCCTTTCTTATTTTTGAGAGAATATTGAATTTCTTGATTATCAGTAACCCGAGTAATTCTAAAAATAGGCTTTGACTGAGAATCTAATTCTTTAGAGAAACAAATTGGTTCCGTTATCGGGAATCTAATAATCTTCTCTTACTTTCCAAATCATTCTCTCTCAACTGAATCATGTCGAATGTCAATGACAACAACCAGCAGGTGGAAGGAACTCCAGTTCCGTCACCTCAAGGAACCCCACGCAATTCAAGAGAAGCATCACCAGAAAGATCCACTACTCATAACAATGAACGACATAGAAATGAACAAACTGTCGAGTAGGATGCTATGAAGCAGTTAATTGCTGAGTACGTGAATGATGCTCTCCAGGCTTTCGTGAGGGGACTACCAGTTGTGCCACCCACACCTCCACCAAACAATACTACAACTGTGGAAATTCCATGATCAGGGTTGGCTAATTCTAGAAGCGGAGGAACTCCCAACGAGTCACGTGATGGGAGACCAGGTACGTATAATAATTCTGATTTACAAACTTTAATACTAACCTTGCAGAAACAGGTGAAAGAACAAAACGACCGTATTGAACAAATACTCGGCGTACCACCTGTGGTCAAAGGAGTTTATTTCGACAATTATTCACAACAACCATGGAAACCAAGCGCAGCTCCATTACCAATTCCCAAAAAGTTTAAAATGCCTGACATCCCGAAATACGATGGAACGACCGATCCACGTTACTGATTCACCACGGGAGTAAATGGCAATGATTTGACCAAGCAGGAGATTGAATTTGTGCTGGTCAAAAAGTTTGGGGAAACACTTACTAAAGGAGTGTTAACATGGTACTCTCTTTTACCTGAAAATTCTATTGACTCTTTTGCTGAGCTTGCAGATCTATTTATAAAAGCACACTCGGGTGCACAAAAAGTTGAAAAGAGAATGGAGGATATATTTAAAGTAAAGCAAGGAGATACAGAATTGCTTCTAGAATTCTTAGACAGATTCCAACGTGAAAGAATGTTGCTACCAAGAGTACCTGACAATTGGGCAGCAATGGCATTTGCAAGCAATTTAAACAAGAAAAGCTCAGAAGCTATGAGGAGGCTTAAAAAGAGCCTACGAGAATTCCCTGTCACGACATGGAATGATGTCTATAACAGGTACAGTACCAAGTTACAGATCGAAGAAGATATCGTAGCTCAGTCAAGGGTTGAAGAAAAACAGGTTTGAGGCGGTCAGAATCTGAGAAGAGGTCCAGTAATAATAGGTACGAGCCTTATATGGGACCTTCGGGGCGAGAAGCTCGTTCCAAATTCGAAAACGTACGGGCTGATCACAGTTTCGGAAATAGAGATTCAGGTTCGTCATCGTCGAGATTCAGAAAAGATCGAGGTGAACGTAACAGAGATGCTAATACAAACGCAAGGATTGGGGACTACAATTTTAACGTGAATACCTCCGAGTTGGTTGCTATTTTAAGAAGCATGGGGGATAAGGTACGATGGCCTAAAGAGATGAGATCAAATCCAAATAGAAGAAACCCGGACTTTTGGTGCGAGTTCCATAATGATCAAAGCCATAGAACATCAGACTACAGATTATTACAAGGTGAGGTGGAACATTTATTGAAGCAGGGCTATCTGACGGAATTGTTCAGCAAGAAAGGCAAACAAGCTTACATGAAAAATAGGCAAGAGCCCCCAAAACCTCCGTCTCCAAAGAGAACAGTAAATGTGATAAACGGCGGAGAAGAAGTCAACGGCGTAACCTATACAGCCGCGAGAAAAACAACAAAATTCACAATAACTCATGGGAAACAAACTCGCCAAACTCTGGAAGACGACAACATAACCTTTGATGATGCAGATGCCGATGGATTAATGATTCCTCACAACGAGGCACTGGCAATATCTTTACTTATACATGATACTAATATAAAACGAGTTTTGATTGACCCAGGTAGCTCTGTGAATATCATTTTATTACGAGTGGTGAACGAAATGCTGATGGGCGATCGTGTAGTTCCAAAAGCACGTTTCTTATCTGGGTTTTATAACTCAACCGTTATTACAAAGGGCGAGATTGAACTAAGCACATACGCATAGGGGTTCATCAAAGAAACAAAATTTCAAGTGATAGACACGGATATGGCCTATAATATGATTCTTGGGAGGCTGTGGATTCATGATATGGATGTTGTGCCATCCACATTGCATCAGGTTATCAAATTCCCTTCATAATGGGGAATTCAACATATTCGAGGAGATCAACAAACTTCAAGGAGCATCAATTCGGTGATACAGTCAAGTCAAAAAGATATGAGCGCAAATCAAAAAGATGCGGGTGCAAGTGAGAAAGATGCGGTAAATCAAATTTTAACAGAAATTGTATCAAAACAAACAGGCGTGGATTCCAGACCAGATGTAATTCAAGAGCCATAAGAGAACGAAAACATTAAAACAACGATTGAGGAGCTTGAAGCTGTTCCACTATTCGAACAATGGCCAGATCGAAGAATTCATATCGGAGCAAGGTTAAACCCAGATAAGAGAGGTAAGTTAATTGAATATTTAAAAGCTAACGTGGATTGTTTTACATGGTCCCATTCAGATATGACTGGTATACCTCCGGAGGTGATGACTCATAAATTAAATAAAGATCCATCATTCATACCTGTCAAACAAAAGAAGAGGAAGCAAGGATCATTCAAAAATCAAGTGATCGATGAAGAGGTACAGAAACTCTTAAAGATCAATTCAATATGTGAGGTAAAATATCCTAATTGGCTAGCTAATACTGTGGTTATTTCGAAAAAGAACGGTAAATGGAGAGTTTGTGTGGATTACACCGACTTAAATAAAGCATACCTGAAGGATTCATTCCCTTTACCGCATATAGATCAATTGATTGATGCTACCGCAGGCCACGAATTATTAAGCTTTCGAGATGTGTATTCTGGTTATAATCAAATAAAAATGGACCCCTTAGACGAAGAAAAAACTTCATTTATTACAAAGTCATGCCTTTTGGCTTGAAAAATGTTGGAGCCACGTATCAGAGGTTGGTGACCAAGATGTTCCAAGAACACCTGGGGAAGACGATGGAAGTGTGCATTGATGATATGTTGGTCAAATCTACACAAGCGGAAGATCACTTTCAACATCTTTCAACTACCTTCAAGATCCTCCGCAGATATAATATGAAACTGAACCAGAAAAAGCGCTTTTGGCGTAGCTTCAGGTATGTTTCTAGGCTTTCTCGTATCTAATAGAGGAATTGAAGTAAATCCCCCACAGATTAAAGCTATTAAAGAAATACCTGATATACTCACAAGCAAAAAAGAAGTACAAAGATTGACAAGTAGGATTGCAGCTCTGGGAAGATTCATTTCAAGATCTTCAGAGAAAAGCTTTAAATTTTTTTCAGTTTTGAAGAAGCAAAATCGGTTTGAATGGACTGAGGAATGCCGACAAGCCCTCAAATATTTGAAGGCATACTTAACAAATCCTCCCCTACTCTCTAAACCAAGGGATGGAGAAAGACTATTTGTATATCTTGCAGTTGCAGAAGTAGCTGTAAGTGCAGTTTTAGTAAGGGAGGACAAAGGTAAACAATCTCCTATTTATTATGTTAGTAAATCTTTATTAGATGCTGAAACTAGATATCCTCATCTCGAGAAATTAGTTTTAGCATTAGTCATGGCAGCTAGGAAATTGAGACCATATTTTCAATGCCATCCTATCTCCGTAGTAACTGCATATTATTTTGCATAAACAAGAATTGTCAGGCAGACTAGCCAAATGAGCAATAGAACTGAGTGAATATGACATTATTTATCAACCTAGAATAGCAGTAAAATCTCAAGTTCTAGCAGATTTTGTCGCAGATTTTAATACAAAAATAATTCCTGAAGTAGAAAAGGAATTACAATTTTTTACTGGAGCTAATCCAGGTACGTGGACTTTATTTATCGATGGCTCTTAAAATGTCAAAGGAGTCAGTTTAGGTATTGTCTTAATCCCACCCTCAGGTGAAAGTATAAGGCAAGCAATTAAATTTACCCTATTACTAACAATGAAGCAGAGTATGAAGCTGTAATTGCAGGTTTGGAACTAGCACGAGAACTCTCCATAGAGCAAATCAAGATTAAAAGTGACTCTCAACTGGTAGTCAATCAGATGCAAGGGACTTACACTGCTAGAGAGCCACGAATGCAACAATACTTGGAAAAGGCACGAGAACTGGTCAGGCAATTCCAATCATGGAAGATCGTGCAAATACCCAGGGAAAAAACACAGAAGCAGACGCGTTGGCTAACCTTGCTTCAGTTGCAGAAGTAACGAGTGAGGAAAATGCCATTGTAATCCATTTATTTCATTCAGCACTTGACCAGGATAAACATGAGTTAAGCTTTAATAATTTAACCTGGGATTGGAGAAACGAGATTGTTAATTTTTTGCAGTATGGGATCGTACCTGAAGGCAAGAAAGAATCTCAAGTTCTTCGACGAAAAGCTGCTCGTTACTGCCAAATTCGAGATAATTTATATCAAAAAATATTTGGCGGTCCATTAGTAAGGTGCCTTGGACCCAATCAAACGGAGTACGTGATGATAGAAGTACATGAAGGGCAATGCGGAAATCACGCAGGTGGAAGATCTTTAGTTAAAACACTAATCAGGGCAGGATATTACTGGCCTAAAATGGAAGAAGATGCGGAAACTTTTGTAGCCAAATGTGATAGTGTCAATGATATGCCAACAATATGCATCAACCTGCAGAGTTATTACATACAGTTATTTCCCCATGGCCATTTATTAAATAAGGAATGGATATAGTAGGGCCTTTACCACAAGCTAAAGGAAAGGTATAGTACTTATTAGTGTTAACAGATTACTTTTCAAAATGGGTAAAGGCAGGAGCTTTCAAATAGGTACGAGAGAAGGAGGTGAAAGACTTTATTTGGCAAAATATTATATGCCGGTTTGGAGTCCCAAAAGAAATCGTATGTGATAATGGCCCACAATTCATAGGCTCGAAAATCACGGAGTTCTTTTAAAGATGGCAAATTAAACAAATAACCTCTTCACCTTACCATCATGTGGCAAATGGACAAGCTGAGTCGACGAATAAGATTATCATCAATAATTTGAAGAAGAGACTAGAAAAATTGAAAGGGAATTGGCCTGAAGAATTACTAGGAGTGTTATGGGCTTATAGAACCACAACAAAAACAGCCACGGGAGAAACTCCATTTTCTCTTGTGTATGGTTCAGAAGTTTTAATCCCGGTTGAAATAGGAGAACCAAGAACGGGATTCGTATTGGCAATGGAAGAGTCGAACGATGAGGAATTAAGAACAAACTTGGACTTACTCGAACAAAGAAGAGAAGCAGCTTTAATATGGATGGCAGCACAAACGCAAATCATAGAACGATATTATAACAGAAAGGCTCACCTCAGGTATTTCAAAATTGGGGATTTCGTTCTTAAAAAGGTTTTTCAATTAACGAAAACAACCGGAGCAGGAAAGTTAAATCCAAATTGGGAAGGACCCTATAAATTTCGAGGTATCGCTGGAAAAGGTGCCTACGAGTTAGAAACCATGGATGGCAAGGTTTTACCCTCGAGTTGGAATGTTGTTCATTTAAAAAAATACTATTTCTGAGCAAAAGAAATACCCACAGTCAGGTATCGTTCAATTACTATTTTTATTTTGTACAGTTAAAATTATACTAATAATTTTAGATGATAGGCAAAAAGCTAGCCCACACCAAATGATGATATTAGACCTGAAGGACACGCGAAAGCAACATTATTCCCGGTCTAGGGTTGTAACCTTGCTGATAGAAATATAAAGGGTTAAGCAGTCATCATCTAAATTATATATACCTCCGAGTCCCGTATGTTTTTCCTTTTTAGGAAATGGACCACATGGAAGGAATAATCAAGTGCTCGAGATTTCATACTTCAAAGCTCAAACACTTGGGGGACTATATATATATAAGGAAGGCAAAGAAGACTGAAAAAGTCAGAATTCAAGTCAAACCTATGGTCTACCTAACAAATCGAAAGTTAAGAGAAAAGTCAAGAGCCAAAAATGCAAGCGTGATTCAAATCTGTTGGTTGTAAATTTAGAAATCTTACGAGTGTTTAGGTTAAAGGCAATATTTAGCCATGGGTGGCAAGATATACCCTTGAATTTGTAAAATCTGTTGTAAAGAAAACAGTTACGAAAGAGTTAGAGATGATAATTGACTACATGTAAAGTATTATACAATTTGAAAGTTCGAATGATACAAAATTTCCTCAAAGTTATTCAAAGAAACGTGTGTGTTCCTATTTCTTCTTTCGTATGTTTACACCATTATAAAATTGAGACGTCTTCTTCATTAAGTGTCGTTTATAAAAGGGTCCTCTTTTATAAATCGTGCTTATTTCAAAAAGTCACGAAGTACTGAAGCATTTTTAATGCATAACAAAAGAGTAGTACAAAAACTCGGAATAAAATATCATAGAAGTTGAACAAAAACTTAGAAGATGATATTATAATAACTTGGTTAAAACTAAGTATGAATTTAGTTCCAACCTAATTGTCTTATACAAAAAACCCCAAAACGGACTAGGGGTAAGATTTTCCAAAACATTACCCCCAAATGGGACCAGGGGTAAATCTCCAAATGTTCCACCAATAAAAAAAATAAAGAAACATTTCAAACTTTTTAACTTTCACTTTGGGGTAGAATCTGAACTGGTAGGATGAAGAGTGGCATCATCACCAGAAGGAAGAGCAACTTGAGCAGGAAAAGATTGAACAACGGCCTCACCAGGAGCGATTTCATCACCCTCGGGAATGCCAACCTCAGGTGAAGAAAAGCTTTGACTCTGCTGGGTCTTTTCAATCGTTTCTCTAGTCTTTGCAATCTCAACATCTAAGTCAAAGCCTTCCAGGCTTACTTCCATTAACTTTTCGAGGCGAGTGTTCAAAAAAGCCAAACTAACATCAACAGCGACTTTATCTTCAAGGGCCTCATAATCTTTTTTCCACTGCTCAACCTCAACTCTTAATTCATCCTTCTCATTCAAGGCAGCATCGTAAGAAGCCT